TCTAGAATATATCAGATAACAGTGACATTCAAAAGTAAACAGGACACCACAACTTAGACAAAGGGACCCCATAACTTAAAATACCCTGAAAGCCCTAGTTTAGCTAAAGATTCCTAAATATCTCATTAAAGTATTTTTAATATATCATATTAAACTTTCAAAGATAAAATACATTATTTAATTAAAACACATCAGGTGAACATTGAACAAGGCGTACTTAGATTTAATGTTCATTTCCCAGGACATTGACAAATCCTGGTGAAGGGTACTTACATATGTGCTCTATATCTGCTCTGCTGCTGCTGGGGCTGTGCGCCCTAACCCCCACCCACAAACCCTACACCCACCCCTCCCCCCTGCAGGCTGCACCCCTCCCCATTAACCAGCTGTCCAATTGCACACCATTGCTTTCAGTGCCTCCATTGGGGCTCCCAGACGGAGTGCACAGAGCCCATATGGTACAATACAGCACATCCTTTGAAAGCCCAACTGCTACTGGCTTTCTGAGAGGCAGAGAGGACAGTAATAATTGTTTTTTGGAGAGCCCTAGAATGGCCTGGCAGGCTGGATCTACCCCGCAGGCTGTATTTTGCCTGCCCTTACTTTAGACCCTATGAGCAGTCTCAGAGGGTGTGTGTAGACAAAACGGGGGCCCTAAATTGAAGCAGTAGGTTTTAAAAAAAACACGGCTTCAATTTAGGGCTAATTAAACCACCATGTCATGCATACACCCCACTGACTTACCTGCCTCTCCAGCGGGGAGGGGAGGGTGAGCTGCCAGCAGGTGAAGCAGTCCCTGGGCTGCAGGGGGGGATGGTGCTTCCCTCTGTGGCAGCTGTGCCTCCTGCCCAGGTGGCACTCGCTTGAAGGCACCCGGCTCAGGCAGTCCCGCGGGGCACCACAGCCATGGAGGGAAGCACTGAGCCCCCGCGCAGCTCAGGCAGGCAGGCAGTCTGGGAGGAGAGGGGTAGAGATCGAGCTCACTGCTTTTTTTGGGCAGAACCTGCTTTCTCAGGCTGCTGCCAGGCTGTCTGCAGGGCTTCCTGTAGAGCCATGTAGCTGCACGGAGCCCGGTGCTTCACTTCGCAGTTGTAGGGGCAGCAAACTAAAACTCCATGGGAATTTTAGTTTGCTGCGCCCCAAGTCATTTAAGGTGCATTATGCCACTGCATTTCATAAAGAGGCTGGAATTAATGCACAATACGCCACTGAGGCATGCAAACACCAACACCATTAAAGCGGTGCAAAAGCATTTAGCCCACTTTAAAGTGTTGTGCACACACACCTCTTGTTTCGTCTACATGCAGCCAGAAGTGTCACTTATAAGCCAAAACATATACCACCTATTAGGTGCCTAATTGGTGGTTCTTAAGTATTAAAAAAATATTTCTTGGAATCATGCAGGTCCCTAAAAAAACTTTAAAAATGCAGACAGGTCCTCTTCCTCTTTCCCCTTCTCACTTCTTTTTTGTGATAATCGTAAGGCTAAGATGACAGCATATTGCAAAAAAACAGATGGCTTAAAGGACTCTTAACAGGATGTCATAAATTGCACTTAAACACCTAAGCAGAGGAGTATCTGACCCTTAAATTCTATGGGCTAGACCTTCCCACATTGATGTTCATTTTTCTACGTGGCCAAAAGGTCAAAAACAATAAATACAGCTTTAAGTTAAAGTATATAGAAGCTGTCATTCCAGATAAGGCCCTACCTATGGTAATCTCAGGGTTCTGACAACAGTTACTGCTTGTCAATTCAGACGAAGATTCAAGAATTATCCATATAGATGCCCGCTTTTCGATTTCTGCTAAGCACATGATCTCAACTGCTTATGGAGAAAAAGGTACATCATAATGTTCATTTAAAACAGCCAGCCCTTTGGACCATTTAGTATTAACCATTAAAAAATTCTAAAGATAGGGCCATGTCTAAACCAGTAGTTCCCAACCAGGGTGTCATAGAAAAGAGAAGAGCAAAAGCTCTGGGGAAGAGATAAAATGCAGGTTCGCAATAACACTTCCCTCTACTTAGTGCAGCACAGGTTCTTCCCTGCTAGCTACCCCTCCTTCTTCCTGGCCCTCTTCAAGCAGGCAAGCACTTTAATAAGTTAGTTTTTTAAAGGGGGTGCTGCTCAATTCACAATAGTTATGGAGGTGTGCCCCAAGAATAAAAAGGTTCAGAACCACTTGTCTAAATTCTTGCCTCTCCCTAGAACCCAGGTTACAAGGGAGATGTCTCCATTCACTCAGGATCCATAATTCAGAACACATTTCCAAGGTACGTGTCTGAAATGTCTCTTTGAAAGACCTGATCAGGGTTCTTTCTTTTTTAAAGTTCTTCTAAGGAGAGGTTCCTGTCACTAAGAGCACAGTAGTCAGAGCATTTGCTCAGGAGGAGATAAAATTAGGTCTAGATTCCAACTCTTATTTATTTTGCCTAATTTCCATTAGATATTCAGATTAAAGGTGGAATCATTCTCTCTGTTTCCTATGAAGCTGTGCAGCCAACACTGCGAGAATCATGGATCAGAAGATGAGAAAACATGGGGTGGTCAAGACTCTAAGCTATTTATTATGGCACTCTTGTGGTAGAGGAAGAGTCCTGGGCCAGGCCCCTGCACGCTGGACTTTTTAGACATTTTATATTAAATATTAATTGGATTAAAAAAAGAAAAAAAAAAACAGAATAATTGCTTGTAGATGGGGTTAAACCTCCAGACTCGCTCTTCCTATCTGAATGGCCTAACCATAAGACTAAATAATGAGGATACCTCTTGCTTT